CCCAGCGCATGCAATGTAGAAGCATGGGCCTGTGTCTGTGATATATCCAAAGATAGAAACTAGTAAATCAGTAGAACCTCCAACTCAAACTTGGTTAACTTGACCTCCCTGCCGATTGGAACTAATGCAACTTTCCCCTGGCCAAAATTTACCCCAGTAACTTGAACTTGAACTAAAAACATTGGCTAATAAATGTCAGAAAATAGCTAATAGACACCTTCCAATCTGTAATTGCAATTGATACAAACACAACATTTATGAAAACATAAAACACTTAGATAAACTTTCTCTTTAAAAAAGTAATTACAAAACAAACTTAATGTAACAAAATGACTGTTGATTGTGCAAGGATGGTAAAAACAGGATTTGTTATTAATTATTTACATGACAAATGGAATTCAATGTATATCCCAATAACTTGAACCACTTTTTGTTTCCATTGAGAGTTCAAGTTTGTGGGGTTCTACTGTATATTTTCAAATAACTGACATTGTTATTACCTGAAAGTTAGTCATGTCTCCCTCTTTTACTGTTTTTATCAAGTCTTGCATGTAATCAATTAAATGCAGACCAAAGGCATTTTTGGCATTGATTTTCTAAAAAGAATCAGTGGCATGCAAATTGAGTAAAATACAAAGACCATAATGATTGACTTTGTAACACGACAAGACTGTTTAAAGTTCTATCCTTTTAATCAGGATCCAGATGACTTGTGACTGAAATATCTGCTATAAAATTTTGCCTAAGAACACTCTTGATAGGATTGCTAGGGAAGAATGACTTACACCTCAACTTGATCCTCAACACCTTAACATCAGTATGCATGTTCTCCATTCTGTTCTCTATACACTTACTAAGTTACTGGGATGGATGATATGTTGGTGATCATTACCTTTATTCTCCTAACCTAAATGTGTAATTCAGAGGTGATATTGTAAGGAGAAATTAGACACTAGTCACTCTTAGGGGTTTAAAGGGTTAATACATATTGTACATTTTATGTTTCATGTTAAATGATTGTAATGTATAAATGAAGACTGTTGCGCCTTAAATATTTGTGAAGTTGAGGCACACTTACATTCTCAGTAGACAACTTAATGCAGTTTGAATACAAGTCTTTCAACTGAACATTAGTTAAACCATTGCTGCCTGTAGTCTGGCCCCTGAAAAGAAACCACAGTTTTTAGATGCAATCATCTGGTGGAAGGGGAGGAGGAAAATAACTTTAATTTGGAAGGAAATTAAAGGAATTGTTTGATTAACATACTGATATTGATTAATAATAAACTAAGCATATCATGTAGGAAAATATTCAAGTCATTTAGAGATATATTCTAGAAGTTAAAAGCGATATAGAGAGAGGATGTAGTTCACAGAATTGCGTAGTTCGATTAGTGATCTTAATTAGTGAATGTACCACGGTAAACTGCCACAAACTTACAAATTACATACATGACTCGAGCGTACGTACATGTACCATTTTATCATGGTATTTAAAAAACATAACCATTCACTTATCGAAGTGGAATTAAAGCTTAAAAAATGCTTCAAAACTCTCTATACATTCACCGCGGAAAATGATCAAATAAACTTAGGATATTTAGTACCTTTCGCTGTCAAGACGAGTTGCACTTCTCGGAGTTGCGGGACTTTGAAGGGTAGCAGATGTCGCTTTAGATAAACGCCTCTGCCTTCTTTCTGCAGCATCGTCGTTTTCTCTTAAGTGTGTTGGCGGAGTGTTAGTGCTTTTTAGGGCAATTGCACGACGTCGTCTCGCATTGGGAGAGATTAAGTCTGGTGTTCGAAACGGTGAAGAGACGGCCGCCATATTTGCTGAAATAAAATATTTTTTTAAATAACTCGAACTGTATGATTTCTTGGTGTTTCTCGTCGATTTAAATGAAAAAAATATATATTCCTATCAAAAGGCACGAATAGGCTGGAAATAAACTGTAAGATAAAAGTTTGAGGTTTCAATCTAAACGCAGTATATACTTTTCATATCTTGGCGCCCAAACAAACCGTCCTTAAAACGACCACGTGACATTAAAGTCATTGGTATCCACCCTCCCATCCCGGTCAGTATCAAAACAAATGAAAGATGGCTGGTTTCGTGACAGCGAATCGCTGGGCAACGGGGGTTGAAACTCACAAAACTTCAGAGGGAAGGATTTTGTGTACAGGAATCGGCTGTGTTGGATGTTTTCCTGATGTATTTTTGAAAGAAGCTGAGGAACTTGGGGTCTGCGAGGTTGATCTTTCCAGTGGCATTTTAGGCCTTCGGCCTTTCTTAGACGAAGAAAGTTCCCGGGAAAACTCGAAAAAGGGAAAACATTTGTCCAGGAGACGAAAGAAGAGGAAGACAAAGTCCAAGAAGAACACAAACGTAAATTTGAAGGAGAGTCAGTCTTTTAAGCAGGATCTGGAAGAATCTGAAATTGACGAAGACAAATCCGGACCTCTACCTTCGGAAGTATTCAAAATATGTTCAACTGGGACGCAGACGGAAACGTCCAGCTTAGGAATTGATATTAAAATTAAACTTTCAGAAAACTTTAAGGGCCGATCTAAACAATATCAACATCCTTTTCAAGAAGGAAATAACTCCGACACAGAGGTACCTCTGTCTGAAAATCACAGACAGGTTAGTGCTAATTGTGGCATTGTCGAGGTTGACGACAACGTAAACAGAACACATAGGAATGCACAGGGTTTGTTTAATTACCCATTCTTCTCAAGATTCGACAAAATCCACGATGAATTGTATGTTGTAAGTAAGAAGGATATAGCGCTTAACTCTTCTGATGACCATTTTTCGTATGAAGATAATCTCATGGTGAAAGAGAAGCTAAATAACGGCGTGATCCCGACAGACAAGGAACAAGAGCTGGCTCCCTACGGAGAGGATGCAGTGTGCTTTTTCTTTGCTTTGGAGTACTACAACAGTCACAGAATTTTACCAGACTTCAGGGTTATGGAAATCGTGGAGGCACTCAGTGAACTTGTGGATGTGAAGGATATAAAGTGCGTTCAAAGAATTTCTCGTCGATGGCATATTGTGATAAAAACCCGAAAATACATCCAAATGTTGAGACACTCGGGACTCAAGTTACGAGGAAGGGTGTATCAACTTGTGGATGATACAGATGCCTACTTTGATGTAGTTCAATAAAAATCCGAAAGCAGTATCTTCCAGCTTGTTTGTAGATTCCCAATGACTAGACTTTATAGTTTATCTGGGTAATATTCTGGGCTGAATCATTTTAAACAATGATTTACATACTAACTTAGGTTCAACTGCCATAGCAACATTTATCTCTTTGAAAGCAATCATTGAGTTACCCACCCTATTGGTGTCAATCAGGTCTCCCGCTGCTTCCTGAAAAAGTATAATGCCAGTATTATGCGTTGTGTATTTAAATTCAGATGATTCCGGCTTGATACAAGATAATCAGGGGCCTGGATTCATAAAATAAATATTTTATAGGGGCATTCTCTCAAATCCAAGATTACACAAATTCGTATCACAATTTCAAGGGAAAGGGCAAACGTAAACTTCAGATTTCTTGTTTTTGTCATGACAAATTACTTGGTTGGTGTTTGTAAGCATTCAGAGTAAATGAAGATGCTGGCAAGGGCCTCTGCTGCTCCTCTGAGCAGCCCCCCCCCCAACTCAGAATAATCAGAATTGTCAATGAAGTATTCCAGTACATTTTAACTTACAAGTTTAGAAAGGCAGTTGCAACAGAACACAGAGGATCTGTGGCTGTTTTCCTCAGCTTTCTTTCGAGGAACAAAGCTAAAAGCTATTGAAAATGTGGAATAACCCTCTATTTTCTAGCTTGCATGACACCCACAACAGCCTTCTTTAAGGTTGTGTCCCAGCTCAGAACCCTTGCCAAACTATCAAGCAAATAAAGTTGTGAAACAAAATTTAATATACAATTTTTGTATACTAAACCAAGAGATACAAAAATTTGAAGGGACAACATGCACCAATTATGTACAACACATAGTAAATATTATTACATAATCTTACTGACACTGCACTATTAACTGAAAATTATCATCACACATAGGTAACTTCTTTCAATAATTGCTTTTAATCTACCTATGAGATTAAAGACACTTACGCTAAGTTGGAACCAGCTCACTAGGAAAGCTCACCACTGTTGCAATACTTTTGATTAGAAATAAAGTAAATAATGGGGAAAAGAGTGAATGACGACCATTCTAGGAACTTACAAATGACAACAGTAACAGCAAGAATTATTTGTTTGGAAGATACATCATTATTTTTACACCATTGAGATGAGGGTGAGCTTTCTGCCTGGAGAGATAAATACAATAGAGTTTAGAGCTCTTCACTAAGTACACAACATGACAATCAAAAGATAACAACAAATACTACTTTACCCTTAAAATTTAATATAATTTTAAGCTTTTGTCAGAGTGACAAAGATGAAGATAAACCAAGAGAAAATTATCAAAAGAGCATTAGTCAATAATTTTTACACTAGCCACAACAAACTTGCAATGTACAGTTGATCAAAAAGCTGAGTAATCATGGGCTTAAATGCTACACCAAAGTTATACATTACAATGTGTAACAGTATTCTGTAAAAAGAACATTCCTTTTCAAATGTCCTTGTTTCCATGAAAAATTTCATAAAGATAATTAACCAAAATGTTAACTGCTCACTGTGTCAGGGGGCAAAGACTCAGCGATTGAGGTAGTTTCAGCTCCAATTCATTTGATGTGGGTGACAAAAAAAAGAGAAAAAAAACTTAATTAAAACATCACAGGTCCTTTTAAGGAAGACACTTCTCAGTGTTGAATCCTAAAGTGTTCAGATAAACTGACTTGAAAGCTTATCATGCCAACTGATGTAGACTGCAAAGAAATCTACAACTTCTCTGGCAAATTAAGCCAAGATATCAAGTCCTGCTGGATTGATTTTACAATACGTAGAAGAAAACATTGGTTGAAGGTTTATGTCAACTGAGTTAAAAAGAAAATGAACTTGAAAGTTTCACTCTCTCACACAGATATCTAACCATGAAATAATTAAGCATAGGAAATTTAACTGGGGAGTTTGAAATGTTAAGAATAAGCCACAGAAGCCCTTGATTGCCAAACAGAAATCACAGAAGTTCAACACATACTTGTGATTGACCATGCAAAGCAATGCCAGTTTATGGACTGAAACTATCAAGTGACACAGCAATATACAAAAATCAGCCGACAGGACAATTTTTAAAGTGTTGTATTCTACCTGTACAGGCAGTCCTGTGGGCATTATTCTCCCAATTGAAACAGTGAACTAAACGTTATTGGTGTAATACTGCTATTACACTCTTCATGAAGATTTACCCTACACAACTCTCTCTATATGCATTAGCGTAAGCACCAAATACTACATGATTGGACTACTATGCCATAAATTATTTACAACTATCTTCATTTTCAAGGGTTTCCATTTTTTGTACAAATATATGATAAACAAAGGGCTAGGGGTAGATTATGAACAGGTTATCTTGAAGGGCTAACGGCTGCTTTTCCATTTTGGTCTGGAGTGTAATTAAGGAAATCCCACATGAGTATCGTATCATCATGGGAACTGCTAACTATCTGGAAATCATCAAACTGAAGTCTGAATACTCTGCCATTATGCTCCTGTAGAGAAATAGAACAATGTTAAAAATAGCCATCTTTTGAGGCAGCTGCCACCTTTCAGACCACCATTTGGTGCCTGTAAAAGTAAAGCCTAAACAGCACAAGGAGATGGAAACACAGAGTTCCTTTGTAAAGTGTAACATACTGTCTACTCTTTAAAACTCTTAAAAGATGTCTGGATTTGTCTAATTTGTAGTTCAAATTTACTTTCATGTGATACAAAATTGATGCAAAATGATGTTAATACTGTTCAAATTGAACACTCTTAGACAGTTTAAAGTAAATTAGTCCTTCAATACATCAACTTCATTCATGGCCACCAAGTAGAATGGTGGAAAGGTTAGTTTTGGACCACATGAAATTAACTGCAATTCTTTAATAGCCCGAATTGTTTCAATACATTTTAATGCAGTTTCAGAGATATTGAATCTGTCCATAATGGCATAGTGTCTGCAATAGCATGGACTCCAAAAGGAGAGAGATGACTATTTGCTGAAGTTCCATTATCTGGATACAAGGTAGGGTTTAAGACAAATTAACAACATGATATAGTGACATACCACAAGAGTTCTGAGACAGAGTGTTCCAGCTGGAGCCCTTGGATCTAAAGCAGCCTGAAGATCCCAAACTTTGATTTTCCTGTCAATAGAAATGGACCAGGTATTTCAGGATTGATTACACAACATGTTGGATTTGTCAATCCTTCATTAGAGCCCTCAAACATATTCATTTCAATTTCCAACTAAAAACTCAATGTGGATTTATTGTTGACAAAAAAAAGAGCTTACAAAAAACCATTAAAAACTGCATTTTCCAACAACAACTTTTATTTATACAGTTAGGCCAACCATCCATATAAGAACAGACCAAAACAAAAAACTTTTAAACCCTTTTTGACCATCATTATGTAAAGCATTTCTGCCAACGATATGTGTTGCTTCTTCAAATCTATTGGACACAAAGGGATAAAAAACACTTCATCCTCTTCCACAATGAATGGGAACCTTTTGTTGTATTTTCTGAGAAAGTGCTGTTTTCAACTTCATCTCATATACTGAGGACACAGCCTGAATATTTCTTGTTTTCCTTGTTTCTGAAGTTAGAGATAGGAACAGTTCCTCACCCATCATAAGCTCCACTGACTATCCTTTTGTTGTCAAACCGGATACACCTGAGAACCAAACATTTATACAACAAAATTTAGTCCAATCTTTCACACTAAATTTGTTGTTTGGTTAACCTTTTAAATTCCACAATCTGATGGCTAATTCTTCCTTCTACCTACTTGTAGTAATTTGAGTATTCTCATAACCTGATTGCTGGTTAATGTATGGATATTGTATGGAGAAGTTACATGTTAATCACTTCTGGGAGTTGGAGGATTTAGAGACTGGTTTAAAGACAAGATACCACAAAAAAAACCTTATTACCTGACTAATTCCTCGTGGCCCTCCAAGACTCTAAGACAGGCTCCACATTCAATGTCCCATAATCTGTTGTAAACCATAACATTGAAGACAAAAAAATGCCAGATGTTACTAAAACATAATTTGAGTTCCACTGTTATTTTATATCTCTATTAAAAGGCCTCTGACAGTCATAAGGAAACATTAAACATTTATGATAAAACCCAATCAGTAGGCAAACCCTTTACATCCTAACATCAGTTTGCATATTCCCTACACTCATCTGTTCTCTAGACATTTCTTACAGTGCTGACAAGGAGAATTTGTATAACAATCAAGAACTTCTTTACTTGATGATCATCTCCTCTATTCTCGTTACCTGATATGTGACTCAGAGGTGATCTTGTTGGGAGAAATTAGATGCTTGTCACTCTTAGGGGTTACTCACCTTATAGTATTATCTGAAGACCCACTAACAACCAAACGATCACGATATTGCAGACATGCTATGCCACGTTTATGTCCATTCAAGGTTCTCACAAATTCACAAGTGGAGGTGCTCCATACCTGAGGTAAAAGTAACACTGTAAGTATAATTAAGTTAACAGCATCCTTACAAGGTACCTTACAGTTCTTGGGTGCCTGGGTCACATCTTTATGCAGTAAGAAGTTCAGAGAAATTCTAGGTAATCAAAATACTTGTAAAAATTTATCATACAGTAGTACAGTAGATTATTACTTCAGAATAATGGAGTGTTAAAAGATGTGTAAACTTATTTCATATCGACAAAACTGTAAGGCCAACCTCTTAGCAAGAAAGAAATACAGGTTCTAAATATAACCAAGCTGACCTACACAGAGTAGGGTTTGGGATTTTTTTTTTCTTTTCACACTGTAACACAGTTTTGAAAAACCATTGAAGTTTTCAACAGATGATGTGTTTCAACAAAGCCCTTTAACACAGCCACATGTAGTAATATGCATTGTGGCAAAATAAGAGGAAACTTGCTGAGATAAGGAGCTAAAGACAGTTTCTCAAGCCAAACAACAATCATTTTCTCATGCTGAATCTACAAAAGCAGCATTTTTTAAAAGCTCCTTCCTTGAACAGACCCTCAACCAGACAAAAAAAGTTTTAGCTAGTCAACCCTAGTAATAGTGTCACTGATACCTTTATTGTTCTATCTCCAGATGCAGACACAATGTACTTATCATCAAAGTCCACCACATTCACAGCTGCTCTGTGACCAACCAAAACTCTTCTCAGGTTTATGTCAGTAGGGGACTGCATATCCCACACAGCAATGGAGCGATCCTATCAAGATCACCATGAAATTTTTTAAGTTTGAGGCAAACATTGTTCAGAATTATTTCCCTTCTGGAGATAACAACTGTCACAAAGCACCTGTTCCACCTGTATTGCTATGTGTTTTTCCTTAGAGAACTTAAGTAAACGTGCTTCACTTACAAACCAAAAATGTCTTAAAATAGATTGCGGTTATTCACTGTGGTAAATAACATTTCAAAAGAGAAATGTAATTATTTGTCTCACAATGCGGTCACTTGGGATGTGGAAATGTTTGTTCAAATTGCATGCATGGTCTTATCTTCAATTGCATCTACCCTTGCAGGCAATAAAAACAGTTCCCATGGCCTATCAAACTTCAATGATTTGACACCAAAACTTCACAGTTTTATACCAACAAGTCCACAACCCTGAAACTGTAATTTGGTGTAATTGTGTTGATATTTCTGCCTTGTTTGTTGACTACAAATGCCATTGCTGACCAACAAGGATGAAAACCTTTTCAAGTGAGCCTGTAATGTAAAACCTTCACCCAAATGGGCAGGAAAACTGTGAAGTTCTGCTGACAAAACATTGAAGTTTGATAGGCCAACTAACATGATTTTATCAAATGGAAGGGTAGACATGATCAAAGATGGTACAGGTGACTCCTTCAAAGCAAAACTAATACATTATATTTGCTTCATCTGCCTACGCCTAATTTCCTTGAAGAAACTTCTGGACATTTGTTTAAAATTTGAGCCAAAGTCCAGGGCAGAGAGATTGTTTATCACAAGAATACTTACTGTATTTGTCTCTGGTTGCCCTGAATTTAACTCCTTGGCTGCACTTTGCACATAGCTAGCTGGTCTGCCTTCTTCAAGTTGGGGTTCTTAAACACTATGTTTACATCTATTTACTACTTTTATTCTCAGTTTGCTTGAATTGAGGGCCACAACATTATCAGGTTGTTACTGTTTCATGTTAATCTCAGCTGATAAAGTTTTCTTTAAAGATTATTAATAAAAAGGAGTGCTTAATCTTCATCAAACTTGGCCATGGGATGGGCGTTGTTGTTGTTGTTGTTTTTTTTTTGAGGGCAGGGGGAAGTTCTTCTTTAGGCACGGGCACTCATTCTAAGATGGAAATCAATGATAATTTCATTTCAGTACCTTTGAACAGGTCACCATCATGCCTTCTTGGAATCGAAGATGAAGCACAGCTTCACAGTGATGGATTAAGGTGTTCAACATTTCTCCAGTAAGAACATTCCATACCCTGCAAGTTATATAACAAAACTATATGATTACATAATATATGGATAAGACGCATGTGCCAGCCAAGAAAAAAGACTGAAATTAGAAGTCATATCCTTTAATTTCACAACTCAAGTTAAATTTAAAATGTGACCCAGGATTCACCAATTGAGCAAAGAACATTCAAATTATTATTGTGCTGTTACCCTATGAAAATGCCCTATTTCAGATCCTACAACTAACCACTTTACTTTGGTGGTTTCAAATTATCAGTGGATTTTACCAGAGGATCCTTCCAATAAGTCAACAATAATAAAACCATCCTGACACTACTAGGAATTGTTTAAGAATAGAGTAAAGTTCATATATTGTCCACAATTTTGTGGCTACTTAGGGTATAAATCCTGCCTGAAGTTATTTGAGGTCTAAATATTTCACTACATCAAAAACTCCTTAACTGATCTCTCTGCATTAAGAAATACACAGGAAACTTCCATTGACTGTCATTACCCATGAGTAATCATCATAAAGGTTTCAAACTTAAACCATTTCTTTCCCTAACAACATTAGACAGTAAGAAAAGTGCTTCTGCAACTTCCCAAGCTCATTAGCCAGGCTAGGCAGTTTTTGAAACGTACCTTACTGTGGAATCACTTGATCCTGTGACTATAACATTCTCATCATACTGAAGACACAGTACAGAACCAGTGTGGCCTGTGAGAACTTTGACACATTCTAATTTGTTTTTGTCCCATATCTACATTGTGAAAAAATGTACATCACCACTTTAAATTACTGTTAATGAAGACAAATTAATTTCTCCTTGTGAAATTACAAATGCAATTTCAGCAGGGCTTTAAAATAGAAATTGTATTGATGTGACTACCATTTCATTATCAAGTTAGAAGTAAATAAATCAACAATAGGCAGAAATAAGCATGCAAAAATATTTAGAGGTATAATAAATCAATATTATTAAACAACTAATCCTCAGACTGCATACCTTAATTGTATTATCCCGAAGTCCACTAACTATTTTCTGGTCATCATACTGCAGACAGTAGACACCTTTGCTATTCTCACTGTGGCACAGAATACGGTGAAGAACATGACGACCACAACGCCAATTTGTGTCAATTGTCTACAGTAAATAATTAAGAGACACAAATGTTAATAATACAGAGGTTTCCAGAACAATGATTTGAGCTGGCTCAAAATGGTCTGTTTATATTTTCTTTCCTTTCCTTTCAATTTTTTTAAAATTTCACATAGCTCTTGTATTAAAATGAATCTTGATATGCTGATTGTCTCTTAACAATAAAAAATGAGGACATTGAAATAAAAGATGCTCATTTTTAAGTTATAAGCACATAAAGCTAGAATTGAGGGTACTTGTAGCATATAGTGTTGCTATAGTAATGTTGAATGCTGGAAAATGATTTAAACATGCTGAGAAATAAGTTTAAAAGGAAAGCATTAAAAAGTGTGGTAGCATCAATGTGTGAAAAAATTGGTGTATACACATAAGCAAAATCATTTAGAGCCACCTAAAGTTTTATGCTCAACTTTGATTGTAGCATTAAATACCTATTCACATTCATTTGATATAATTTTTACCTCAAGTTCTTCAATAACTTTTGGATACAGTCTTCTAAAGGAAGCATTGTCAGGTAGCTCGGGTACTTGGGCTTTGAATAAATACTTGTCCCTAAAGACACACACCTCAACTGTAAGTCTTCTCACAAACTAACAGATGGTGATACTACATCTAGCATATCATAACATATACCAGGAGAGTATATTGAAACACGTGATAATACATCTGGATCACTAAGTTACTCATGAAGAGGAGACACTTATGTCCCATATGTCAAAGACACACTTGGCTTTTGATACATCTTTGAAGCAAGGTGATGATGCCATCTACCCACTACTATGGCTCAGGCTTGCCATCTGAGTAACAGGAGAGCTGCCTCTATTTTGCTCAGCAATTACTTAGTAAAGGCAAACAGTTTAAGGTGATGCATGCTAAGTTGTTTGATATTGAAAGAAATCTTTTCATTTAAAATGTTTGAAAAAGTCTTGCTGAGAAGGGGATGCCAAAGATTGGGAATGTTATTTCAATAAAGCATTCCTTTCTTGAGCTAGCTCACTCTAATCCTAACCTGAGTGACTCTAATCCTATCCTTAGCTACAACCCTGGTAGCCTATATCTAACTCCTACACCTCACATCACCAGTGGAATCAAAAGATAAACAACCATTCTGTGGGTGTGCCACAATGACTGCTAAGTAACTAAGGAAATTTTCTACTCAAACACAATTTAGATCAAAGCTTAGCAGCTTGAAGGATCGTGTTAAATGATTTATCCTTACTTACCATCCCCTTCTTTCTGACAATCCTCTCCACAAAGGATCAGTTCGAACTTTCTTTTCGATGAGCTTTTTCCATAGCATACCATCTGAAATTACTCTATACCACTCCTTGCAAACCCTTTCTGCAGCACACAAGGACTCTGCATCCAAGTAGGACAAAATCTTTTCTGCTATATGGTCCAAACCTTTAGCTGTAGAGCAGAAATGAAAGTAAAGCTGAATTCTACATTACAAAAAGACAAAAAAAAACCAGCCAATCTGGAACTAATCACTCTCTCAGTTTTGATAATAAGGTCATAAACTGATGCAATTTTAAGATCTTCCGGTAAATCCATGGCTTACAACATGGAAAAAAAAAAACAAACAAAAAGAAACCAAAGATTTGCATAAAAAAGATTGCCAAGTACATGCATGCGTGTAGAACACCTTGAAAGATCTATTAACAAGTAATAGATCTGTGGCTCGTGTTTTTCAGAAAAAACGTTCAGAGAAAAACTAAAATTGAAACCAAACAATGAAATGTGTGGCATTAGAGATGCAATCCTTGGGTTATTTTCTCTAATTTCTTAAATTCACCTTCTTTAATTTGTTATCACTTGATATTTCACAAGTTAGATAACAACATGATATGTATCACCGGCTGAAAAATAACGTTTGGACGATAAATATCTTTCGTGATTTCAAGGTCGTGTTTAGCAAAATCCTAACCCTGTGTTAACTATTCACTTAATTTTTAAGAGTACAGTTTTTTATAGGGTACGCCGGGGCTAAATCTTGTATAAACATTCCCCAGAACTCAGGAAAACAATTGCCGATGGATTGTGAGGTGCACAAGCCATCTCTAAACACGGCAAGTCGAAAATATTTTGACACAAACATGCCACAGCACCGATATTGGTTTCCCGTGATATTGGGAAATTTCCTCTGCCAGATGAAAAGTTACTTAACTGTTGTCAAAAGGTCCCGTAAAAAATGGTAAACACTCTATAATCAACACATCGGTTTTGTAGGTGACTATGATAAAACAGCAGTCCTTCCAAAACAACCCCATGGAATTGTCTGAGTGTCGCCTGAATGTTCTCCGTTTGGTGAAACCATTACGTATAGATCTTAATTCGAAATGGTAGTACTCGCTTAAGCCTGTCACGAAAGGAAAAGTAAACTTGCCTGAGCACAAAAAGGTATAATCAACTTACCAGGCAGAGCGGTTATAAAATCTCTCTGTAGCATTGGCTTCAGATACGAATTTATGTGTCCATGTTGATAATGGCACATTTTCGAAAGTAAAAATTCAACGAATTCGACTTGTTGGGTTTCTGACCATTTCTCAAAATGCTTAGCACAAGCTTGACTTTGTTCAATGAAAAGTTCTCGGCTTCTCTCGCTTTCCTTCTCGCTTGATTTTTCGTCTTCGCCATCGATAACCATCACCTAAACGAATTTCGAAAAGGATATTTCAAATCAAACATCACGGAAAGTTAAGAGTTTAAAGAGGAGAATCTCCCTAGCGGCTTTCAATTTCTCTCTTACACTATCTTCCTCGAAGCCGTAATCAATCATTTCGTCCTCCATGGCTGTAGAATACCGAACTTTGTTAGAAGTCCGAAAAAATCCTTCTTCCTTCTGTTTGATAGCGAACCTTCTTGAATCTAATCGTGACATCACGAAAATTCCATTACGCATGAGCAGTCCAAACAATAACTCTCTCCAGATCGCTAAATCACTCGGCCGGAAATAAATGATCTCAAGGGAGACACCCCAAGGAAACGGATCGCTTCCTGTTTGTCGTGGTGTTCTAAAAATATTATACAAAACAAAAATGCTTCTTTCAATTGTGATTATCTCGTCTTGCAGTGTAGTAAAGTATCAATAGTTGAGCTTTTACAGGAAAGAAAATTGCGTGCTAGACTGGTCGTACCGGTAACAGGATTAAATTTACACCTTTTGTACCTCAAAAAAACTTGTCTGACCGGCTGAAATGCGAAGAAGTACTTCCACAAGACAACCACAAGCAAACATAATTAATCGAAAGGGGAACTGACCAGCCGACCGGGAAAAGCCCTTTTAGACACTTGATGTTCGTTAACAAAGAAAAAAAAAAGCTGACCCTGTCTTTCATCAAATGATCAAGATTAGGAAATCATTTTGAATAGCTGAGCGTTAAAATACGGTTTTGATTGATGGTAACGCAGGGACAGCAAAGCCTATTTTTAACTGGGGATGCTTGAAAACGAGTATTGGCGCGAGTTTGTAGAAGGGTTCGGGGCTAACCCTTTCCCCCCTAGTAATGTTTGAAATTTATTATTCATGCTAATTCTCGCGCTCTTCTTCATACTAACCTCATGCTAACACAAAATGAAACTTCGTCCTTGCAAAAAGTAGGGGCTAAAGCAGCCCCAGTTCCATCGTCCTTGTAACCTTAGTGAAAACAGGAGCAGAGTTAAATTATATTAGACCACCAACTAGGCTTTAAGCTGGAAAGATTCAAAATAATTATATCGAGATTATCGCGACGAACATAACTTCTTAACCTTTCCACCGTCTATTTCGAGTCAAAGACCGAGGTCAGAATACTGCATTAGCATCTTGCCAGATTGTGAAACGACCCAGATTGTTGCTTCATCATCATTATCATCATTGTTATTATCATTTTTCCCAAAAAAAAAAAGAAAAAAGGCGAGAATCACATACACACGTAAACCCTGTCTCTTAGTTCCCTATTCCCCCTTTCCTGTCCTAGGGCTGTCCCCGCGTGTCTTCTTACGGGGGAAGATCAACCCCTGCAATTTTATGTTACGTCTATTTTTTGTTGATCATATCTTGCATAGATCCTATCAACACCGTCAGCACTTTCCTTGAGGCCCGTGAATGAAATTTAATCACAATCTGCAGCACGCCCTTCACCGAAGCCTGTTTAAGGGTGTTTCGACCGGGAAATCCACTTCCGTATCAGTGGGTACGTATTGGATAGGGACGGAAAAAAAGTGAAGAAAAGAAAAGAGAAAATAAATTTAGGCAATTCCTAAAGAGCCTTTTGATGAATCTCTTCTACCTCAGAGGATCAGGTTCGCGATCCAATCATACAACAAGGTACAGCCGAGTTCAGGAACTGGACTATTTCACAAAAAGAAGAACAACTTTCCAAATACAAGGGTGACGTGTTTATTACAAACAACATTTCCTCTCGTGAGAATCTCTCCCACTGCATTTTTACGGTGGTAAATTTCCCAGTGTGTGGAAATGAATAGAGCAGGAAAATAGGCGTTTGATTACTGGCTAATCATCCGCCAGCTGGTCACGAATGTCTCTCCGTGCCTCTCTCGGCCTGCTTACACGCAGATAATGTCACACAACATCAGAAGTTTTTTGTATCCTTTGTTTAAGTCGCTAAAAATCCTCCAAAATTTAATTTTTACGTTAATAAAATTACGACTCGCAGGCAAGATTTGTTGCATCATCCATCTTGCTCTTTCTTAAAGCAGACTTGTATGGTGACCAGACAAATGAAAACAGTGGCCACCAGGTTATCTAATCCGCTGCGCACTTATGAAAAAAAAACTCCATTTTGTCTACTTTGTTGTGTTCGACGTAAGGAGAACGCATATTATTTGTGTCGCCTCTCTCTGGATGTTAAACAATTTCACCAAGTCCACCGACACCTTTGAATTAAGTCCTTAACCAAGATGCTGAGCTTTTCAACCATATTGTTGTGTTCAACTTTACAACTTGCTTATAACACTGCGCGGAAAAATATATCACTCTCTCTGAATATTTCTGCCGAAAAATATTATTTTCCAGAGATCGAACGCTCCTTACAAGATTTTGATTATTACTTGTTTTACAAATAAATTACCAAGATTTAAATACATTTAATAGCCATGTTGTATTTCGCAAATTATTATTAATGTGACTGTGCCTGTATGCAAAAGCGATAATGTCATAAATAAAAAAATAAAATAAAAGTAGAAACTTTAATTTCCATATTCCATGACTTTGCCATAGATTCTCAAGACACTTACAAGTTATTCAACATTTGGCGTAATTGTTCGAGCGGTCAGGCTGATCACTAACTCAGACTGAATGAAAACTAATGAAAGCATAAAGCGTGACTATTAATTAATTAATTCTCTCTCCCCCAGTTTCACTGAGTGAGTAATTCCTGTGATTGGGGCCGGGGCTCCTGCTAGTTAATTAATTGCGCAATGACAACTTCAGGCCTCACGGGAGAACAAAAGTTAAAGGTATTATTGCATTAATATAAGGTTTATTTTACACTCAGTACATGTAATTCGGTTGTAGTAATATCACGTTTCGTATACGTTATATACCATCGAGAGAGCGAGATGCAATCCGAAATATCATCATTTCGCGCCATTATGAATTTCTTTAACTTAATGCATTATGACACGAGTGTCAGTCGCTCTTTTTAAGGGTTTATTACTGGCTGAACTAGCCGGTTCTGAGTGAAATTTAACGAGCTATCTATGCAATTGATTACGAACTACTCTGGCCGTAGCAGTGACGGTCTCAATGAATTCACGTGAAAAATGAAAATCTACGGGAGTTATGAATAAAGCTCTGAATATTACATATCTAAATTACCTCTCGGTCTGAATATCTAAATTAAGTGAAATGAAATGTTAGTCGACGCGTTTGGGATATTTTTCAGCCTTCATGGGCCATTTGAAGCGTCTCTTAACTAAATTATTTTTGGCCGTCTCACGTCAACAATTATTAACCCCAAACACATAGTGCGGTCTGGCTGTGGTATCACAGCCATATTACCCTCGGTAACGTCACGCAACATACATAAACACTTCCAACTGCTTAATAACCGAGCGTGAGGGCCGTACTGGGGAAATTTGGCTCGAGGTCGTGGCAGAGCGAACAGAGCACCGAAGGCCAATGTTTCCCAGCACAGCTTAAGCAAACAAGGTTAGTTAGTTAGTAGTTTATTTATGGCACTCGTACCAAACTTAATTATTTTGAATTTGCCTGCAGTATGGCTTATATGACCCTTTTTTTTGGAAACGATCCGTATGGCAAAATACGGACTTAGTTGTTAACGCCCGGATTCACCTCAGGACTACCTTGTCATACGGAAATGTAGTTTATTAAAAACTTAAGTTTAAAATTTGATTTCCCTCAACTTGTCTTTATCCTACAGTATGAGAGAGACGGTTATCTTGTCGTAGAGGACGTTTTTGATGCTGCCAAAGTCAAAGAGCTTTCTGATGCCGCAGATGATTTTGTTAAAAGGTTGAGTATTATATACACTTGGTATGAAAATATGCTGGTCAGGAGGGGCCGGAAGGGAAATTATTCTCGTGCTCTCATTTTAAGAAAGAGAGGGGACCGGACCCAGGGCGCGAGGAAGGGTTTTCAACAAAGCCGGTTACTCAAGTCATAAGTCTTAAGTCATACATAAGTCCTATTACCGTTGAGTGATTAGCCAGGGTGCAGGCTCTTGAGTTTGAGGTTAGCCTTGAGGCCCACTTTCTGCGTACAGCCGCCTACTATACCATCTATAGCTGCTTATGGAAAAAGTTATTGAAAGCTGTTCAACCTTGCGTTTACAATCGACTAATTTTGTAATAGAATTGAAAATGAAGATTGCCTGCCTCTGACGATTGTTACTTATGATGCAAATACACCCTCGGGACTTGGGTTCCTTTTCAATTTTGAGTATAATTGAAAGCTTGCAAACATGGTAAAGAAATATGAGATTAAACCATCAATTAATTGAATTCTCAGAGGGCTAGGATAATTAAACGCTCGGTGTATTCATTATATAGTCCATTTTACAGTTGCGTGCTTGGTTGCCAAGCCTTTGAACAGGAGTGAGGCTAGGGGTGACCTTGTTATGATACAAACCTTGCTGCTTTTCAAGTGTAAATTACTTTGTTACCATGCTAACCAGATACTGGTCTCTATCATAAGAAGGTCACCTTCAGCCTCACTCCAAATCAAAGGCTTGACAACTAAGTACACAACTGTAAAATGGCCTGTTCAGGGCTATGTTTGAATTGCCAACTGAACATGACAGGAAATGAACAGCCGCTGTGTTGAATTGCTTGGAGCGTGGGAGCAGGCCATCACTGATGAGCGCTTTGGCTCGAGCGTTTTTTCGCCCGTGATAAAATTTGAAGCCCTCAAGTTGAGCACTGCAGGTCGGCGAAAGATCTCAAGGGGTCTCGCCCTGCCATACCCTCTGAAAACTCTTCCCGCCGGACTCGTCTCAAATCTTCCCTAGGGTGGAGAAGCGCGCGTCCTGCTGCGCTAATAATGATGGCTTGCTTGTATAGGCTTATTTCTTGTGAGTTTGAAGCTCATAAAAATTCCGTAACTGTGGGAAGATATGAAAGTCAATGTAATTTTTGACATCCAACTTTTTGTCTGTCTTGCTTATTTTTCTTCAGAAGTGCCACCATGACCAACTCAGATAAAAGTTTCCATCTTGAGTGGAGAGACAACTCATCCAAGCCTACTTTAAAACGAGTTTCACTTCCTTCCGCCATTAACCCATTATTTGAGGAAATACATCGCGACAAGAAACTATTAGACATTATTTGTGATTTGGTGAGTCATGTGCTATATCCAATAAGTAAATAAACCAAGTAGGCAAAAGTGCAGTGAGTATAGAGTCTTCAAT